GTACGAACACGTGTCGTTATTTCAACGCTTACTTGGTGGACGGGGCTAGCTAGCACAGGTTTAACGATGATTTAAAAGCAGCGGTTCTCAACCATGGATGTTTCGCGGACCCCTTGTGGATCGGCGGAGATGATAAAGGACCCCGTTCGTGGTGAGGGGAAGGGAAATGTATAGGTTAATTATGATAATGATTTAAGAAATGAATATAACTACGGGCTGTGTGAAGTAGACTTCTCTTTTTAACAAATTCACGGAAAAACTCACCCGAAAAACTGGAACGTTTTTTCTCCATCTGCGAAGAGACACGTACCTTTTATCGCCGGGTTTGACCGATGAGGCTGGGCTTTGCGGACCCCTAGAATGCCTTCACGGACCCCAAAAGGTCCGCGGACCCATAGGCATTGACTACCGGGGGGCTGAAATTTCTCGGGAGGGGCAGAGCCCACCCCCTCGGGAAGGAAAGTACACTTGCCTCCAGGACCGTCTCATTCACCACATATGTGTGCCGTGGCGGGTGCTTGCAAGTTGCGAGTATTGACAGGTGTCGCCTATGAGTCAGAGCAACGAAAAAAATGAACTGCACACACTTCGCAAACATTACTATGCAAAAGATTTTAAAAACTCAGTTTAAGCAAAAAATAAAATATAGTAATAAAAATGGAAACAAGCCTGTAGACGGCAGAAAATACCTACTAAAAGACTCCCTCGGCGACGGCAATCGTTAAGGCGGTTAAGGCGCTCTTGCCCTACAAAATGAACAGAGAAAGGCGAAAAAGGAGCTAGGACATCTTACAATTGAGGTGTCGGAAGCAGAAAGAAAGCAGAAGCAAGACGAAGGGACTGATACCTCACTCGCACAAGTGACAGCAGCGAAATGCATTTTTTGACGCTCAAAACCGATTTAAAAAATGCCCCCAACGGCATGTAAAAAAAAAAAAAAAAAAAAAAAAAACCGGCGCATAAAAGACAAAGGAACATCTACGTCTTGTCGGCGATGTGCTATTCGAAGGCGCCACCAGACACGACCGAGAAAGCGAAGCTTCAGCGACCGACGACCGCGGATTCAAGAGTCGCCTGGCCGCCGGGTTCGCTACCGAGCGCCAGCCTGGCTCCAGGGTAGTTCTCTACTTGGGTGTTGCCTCTACATTACGAGGGGGTGATGAGGAGGCCAAGCAAGGATGCCTTTTCTTTTCGTTCTTTGTTAGGAGAGAGCCAAAACAGCATGAAGTAAGCTTCATATTATTATTATTTTTTTTTTTTAAAGGATCCTTCTTTCTGTCTTCGATACTCTCTTTGTTCCCTTCAACTTGGACCTTCGAGGCACGAAGGTCCAAGTTGTCTTCGATACTCTCTTTGTTCCCTTCAACTTGGACCTTCGAGGCACGAAGGTCCAAGTTGTCTTCGATACTCTCTTTGTTCCCTTCAACTTGGACCTTCGAGGCACGAAGGAGTAAGGTGGGACCTCGCATGTGAATCCCGGAGTAAGTTCACCGGAGAAAAGCTCACAGCGAAACCGGCGGATGCGGAGAAACGCTCACCGGCCATCGAGCGGATGCGGAGAAAAGCTCGCCGTTTTTTTTTTCTTTTCTTATTTTCATTTGGTGGCTGTCGGATCATGCGTAACATACATAAATTTATTATCATTAAAATTCGTCGGTTTTGTAAAAAAAGAATATGTCCTTTCTTGTAATTGTTGGGCTGATTGGGTATATTGCATCCAAATTAATAATTGCGGGCGAGTATTTTTTGTGGTTAACTTCCACAACGAAAGCCTAACTGAAAACTTTATGAACTGTAAATGCTGAAAATCAGAAAAGACATGCAACGCGGTGCCTGAAATTCTCTTTAAAGCTTTTGGTAACCTTTGAAAACAGGATAGAACGGTTAATAGGATATGGAGGTTTCTTTCTTCCACGGACGGACATGCACGTTTTCTAGCCGTTCATGCTGGTTTTTCCATACGTCGCCATTGTGTGATAGTGCCCTTCCACGGCGAGCCACCCATGGCCTTCAGAGTTGCACACAGTCTAGTTTTCTGCAAGGTAGCAAATTGGGCGAGTTGGTAAACGTTATGCATGATGAAAACAGCTCGAATGATGAAGACGGAGTGAAGACATCAAACACGACAGGCGAAGATGTTCTCGCAACTAAAGTTTTATTAATAAAAGAAGAAAAAAAACACAGGGAACACAGCGTAGCCGACACTGATTACATCAACAAACGCTTACTTGTCTATCAGGCACCACACAATCTTCGGAGTTGAAACGATTCACATACCGCTATTCATATTAGCTTGCAAAAAACAAACCTCTTCATACTCGTATATTTATTTCGATGGTCCTGTATCTAAAGCTTGATTTGCAAAATGATATATTTTGAATAATCATTCTCTAGACGAAATCGCATTCGTAATTGAAAACTTTCCGCCTATGCGCGGACCCCCATTTGAAAGCCATTGACATGCAAAGGAAAAAAAAAATATTTAAACAGCCTAGACGGAAAAAGATGTCATAAAACATATTTACAACGTAGAAAATTTTTTTTTTTTTTTTAGAAAATTAACGAGTAGTTGTCGCCCGCGGAAGCCGCCGCTGGTCACGTGGTAGACCTCTGCGCAGCCGCGCTGCGCCGCCGCAAAGTCACACCGCCGCCACCATACCGCCGCCGCACGCTGAGCGTTGTGCACCGCCGTCGGAAGTAGGGAGGCTCAAGTGAGGGTGGGTGCAACTGCTAGATCGGCGATCACGGGACATGGACGCCATTTAATTGCTAAATTTTGCTGGGAGTCTATGGGGCAAAGGGTCGTTTTCTTTCCTAACTCAGGTCTTAAAAGCCCATTAAGGTGCTTGAATAATTTACGCAAGGTATAAATGATTACTTTTCCATAGCCACCAGTTTTGTTGCGATAGGTGAAGTATTTTTTTAACGCGAAAAATGGTAAATTCCGCCATCTTGGACGTTGCTGCTTGTCTGGCAACTTTGCTTTCTCCGCTCGACGTTTGCAATTCTCGGAGCGAGAAGGAAGCGAGAGAGGCTGCGCCAAGGCGCTCGTTGCTTGCAATGGGAGGCGAGAGGAGGAAAGGCGCATGGAGCAACACAGTTGCAACAGAGCGGGCGCCTGCTCTCGTGCAGGCAACACTGGCGCATATCCTTTCTCGAATCCTCTCCCTCAGGCGCCGCCATTAAATTGCAAACGCTCTCCAGGTTTTGAGTTGCGCCCACCCTCACTACAGCCTCCCTAGTCGGAAGACAACACTCCAGCGCGCCGCCGCCGTCAATTTTCGACCGTCGCACAGGTCTATCATGTGGTGCTTGCGCTCTTTCAGGAGGTTCCCTTGGGCTCTCTTCGTTTTTTGTTGCATTTCAAATGAAGATGAATAAATAACTTTCAGAGACCATAGCTTCCGAAAGAACGCAAACACCACGTGATGGTCACTTTTCCGCGGCGCTCGTGGACACAAACTACAAATTCGTTTCGCACCATAAATACAGCCCTAAAAATTATTTTTTGTTGCAAACTCGTTGTATGACTTCCTTTGCCCATCCGGGCTGTTTAAAAAATACTGTAAACGACTAAATTTTCGCGAAAACCTAATTTTCGCGAATTTCGTGAATCACCTACCATTCGTGAAGAAAAATACGTCCCGCGAACAATCCGGGCAATATGTGAACGCTACGAAAGCTACACTCGATTCGCGAAAATTAGAACCCGCGAATAATTTCAAATTTTCAGCTTTGGCCCGATTCGCCAAAATGAAGTCGTTTACAGTAGGTATTTTTCTTTGTAGTGTTATGCCCATCCAACAGATGGCGCCACCATTCCACACTGCGGCATTGTTTTTTTTTTTTTTTTTGGGGGGGGGGGGGGGGGGGGGGGGAGCAGTTGGAGCAGCGGGGAAATAAAATTTTTTTGTACGGCAGTCACGGCGTGTGCGCCTCGCTTTATCCCTACTCGGCCACCTCGTCTGCTGTGTTACGTGACCGTCTGGTCGGCCAGGTCGCGATATTCTTTGCATGTGTCCTTTAATACCTCCGAGAAATATGGTGGTCAGTGATATGAATTTTCAAGATCCTCCACGACGAACTAACAAGAGGAAAAAGCTTCTATGCGCCATAAGAAAAAAGAAGCCGTGCCAGCAGATATTAAATTCACAATTTATACCTCTTTGGTGCACATGCTTGCCGCACTAAGCCTTTATAATGTACCCGACGTCACATGAGCCATGTTCAAATCCGCTCGCTCAGAATATATAAGCCTACTCGATTCTGTAGGGGTGCACATGAAGAAGTCCCCATGCACTTCTAATCAAGATCAGACATTGTGTTAAAATGCTGCCCATGATTTGGAGAGTATGTCATGGCATGTGCATCTAACAGGTCTCCGGAGGTCTCAGACCCCTGTCATTTTAACGTATGGTCCGAGACCCTCCTCCACAGCCCCAGCATTAGTAAAATTAAAATAATATCTTGCAATTAAATATCGTTTTCAGGGACGTGACATTTGGGTATTAGCAATTTGAGGGTCGCAAGTACACCTTGGGCAGTCAGCAGTGGAGTTCATTATGTGTGCATCTAGTAAATCTCGTCAGAACATTCTCCTCCTCCCCTCCCCTCTCTCCCTCCCCCGCCCCGCCCACACACACACACCTTCCTTTAGGGAACCCCCCTCAAATTACGGGAGACTTTAAGCACTGGTTATGTCCGTAAGAGATCTAAAATGTTGAGTGGTTGTTGAGTCAGGGACTATACTTACCATGTACATCTGAGCAAATGATGAGAAATGTCGACACGCTGCAGAGAGCCATTAGCCAGCCACAAGATGGGACTGGCAAGGAAGAGTTTGGAACATAGAAGTGAATTTTCAAACATCCCCATGATGGCCAACCAAGCTCTGGTGCACACGAGTGAATCCCCCAGTGTGCGACAAGCATGACCAAGTTTCACTCCCATTTTTCCTAGGATCACTGCGAGGTGGACAGAAAGCAGGACACACAAGGGGATCACTTTTGCATGGGTCACTTTATTTGGTGTAGATGACAATCTAAAAATGTTCACAGAGCTGTGTTTTCAACCAGCAAATGACAAGTTTGTGCCACCAGTCCATCGGAACATCCCCGGTGTGTCGTCTCATTGGTCGGGGTCCGAGGGCCACACAAAGAGGGTGCAAATAAATAGGATGTTTGGTCCAAAGAAGATAGCCCCAGGTGTTTGCAAAGAATGAGAAGACCCGACGCGTGTGGGCAGCAGTTCATTTAGGTGAGATTCATGGAACACAAGCAAATCACAGGCAGAAAAGTGGGCCATGCCAAGTGGCCGCATACAATCGCTCCTTCACTAACAATCACAGACACAGGGGATCTTTTAGCCCATGTCCAGGCTATCACAAATGCAACAGGACACCTATCCGAGTCACAACAAGTATAAATTAAATGGAGAACGCTGAGAGCCGCCTGCCCCTCTGGAGCTACGCAGGAACAGCAGGAGTGTGACTGGAGTCTAGTTCACGTCCGGTGACTCGGCGGTCAACAAAATGGGCAATAAATTACAGGAATTGGGGATGACAGGGGGAAAAGGCTCTGATCCGCTGATGACACGCGTGACTAGATCTCGGGCTTCTTCTGAAGTTGTTCCACTTCCTGAATAACAGACAAACCCACACTGTATTCCTAGGCGGGAGAAAAGGATGCAATCAGAGACACTCCGGACATGCAACAAAACTCTGGGCAGGCAAACAGAAACGTCCACGGAGCACTTGGAGGAGAAAAAGGTGCAACACAGAGCTGCCTGTGGTAAAACAGGTTATACCTTTATGAGGTAATCTTTAAGCTTGCTGTAGGCAGTCTTGAGGTTGTCATTCACCAAGAGCAGATCAAAGTTGCCCTGGTTCTCACCTGCAAACGAGACACACCTGTAAGCTCCCAGTCCCCGCAACAGAGTTGAGCCTGCCAGCGTGCCCCTGAGCCTCGGTCAGGAAATGTTACACGGGCAGAAGTCAGCCGTGCCCGGCCGCAAAAAGGAGGCCCAGGCAGTTGCCGGAAAGCATCAGGTGCAAACCATAAGAGTCCTGCCTCAGTAGCAGGGTGCACCTGTACACCCACTCGGCACACTGAGAAGTTGATCCAGCATAGTGATGGATACTATTTGGATACTGAAGCACGGTAGCTGAGGGGAATGGCCCCATGCTAGAAATCAAAGCAGATAGGCTGCATTACATGCCTGTTTTAGGCAGGTGACCTCAAACTATTTTGTTGCCCAAAGCTTCTTTCTTTCCAAGAGAACAAACAGTAGGGCTTGTTGGTGTATATTCATGATAGAAACGAGGATGAATGCAGAGGACAGACGGGTCCTTCTTTCTTTGGAGCACATGCAAGAGCATCCTCCTCGAGCTCTACCTTGACCGGTGTTTTGTCAAAACCTTGTGTCATGCTAGATCCCATCTCCTGTGATTGTGTGCTGTGAGCATCAGGCACTTCAAAAAGTGGTACCACCCCGAGAAGAACACAACCCATTTTCGGCATCAACGTTTGCATGCTACGTTGGTAAGGCTAGCTTAGTTTCCAATGCTGCAGCCCCGGACTGCTACTGAAACATGGTGGCTTTGTCTTGCATCTCATTCTTAAGTAGTTTTGGCAGCCATAGAGAAACTGTGTTAGCCCTGACAACAAGCACAAAAAAGTTGATGCCAAGTATAGGAGGGCAGGTGTCGGTTGCTTGTAGTACATGCTTGGAAGGCATTTCCAAGTGGTCCGTTTAAAGGCTGTACCACCCATGCATCCCAGTCTTTGAACCGGCAGCAAAATGTGTCACAGTAGACGCAAGGTAATGCTACGGGTCGTAGAAGTACCGGCAAAGATGAGCGGTCCCAACCTGTGGCCACTGAAGGTCCGTTCACATGCAAGCAATTGACTACAACAGATTTCACAAGACTGATTTTTAAGCCTCTTACGACGGCTTACGACCGGCTGCGCTGCCACGGAGACAGTCATAAGCCGCCACGGAAGACTTAAAAACAGGTTTTTAGCCTCTCAGGTCCTAAGAAGTTGCATGTGTGTGATTGGGCCTTAAATTTCCTGTAAACTGGCAGGCTGCAGAGCAGACTACAGCAAGATAATGCCTGCCACATCCCCCTCTCTTACTGTGCCGCTACCAGCATTGTGGCGATCCATAGCGTCACACAGTTGATATGTCAGTTGATAATCAAGAAGAGAAATCAAAGTGAGGCAAAGACACCGGTCGGAGACTCGTTCCAGCACCCACAGCGCCGACGTCACTATTGTTTGGCGTGCATGCATGCCAAATAATAAGAGTGCGGATCATTCCCACTTGTAAAAACCATAGCTTGCACATCAAGGACCAAGCTGCAAAAAGGACTTTTGCTGCTAGGAGATAGCAGTCAAAAGTCAAACAGGGTGCACCCCCATCCCCATGTCGATCATGGGCTTTTGAAAAAAACAAGTCCCCATCACAACAAAATATGTGCTACGGCCTTCCAAATCTAGTCGTTCAGTTCATTGTGGAACAAGCAATGATTGTCCAGACCAATGCCTGCTACACCAGTGATGGAATTCTTTGAATGTGTACCAAGGACTCTATTGGTCCTTCAGAAGCTGAGTGTGGACGCAGCCAAAGCTACCTATCCATCTGCTTCATATTCAGGTCACCTCACTCTCTCCCTTAACGCCACAGTAGGGGCCTTTCTCAATGCCGTGGCATGCCTTATGTCTCGACGTTGCCACTTTGAGTGGCTTGGCATCTTGGAAACACAGTAATGATGGCTCCAATTTGGAGCCTATTGAAAGCATCAATTGAAGACAGTCCTCACAACTATTTATAGCTCTAGGAGTATACAAGGCTATTTCCGCCCCGGTTGATGGATAATGACAAGCCACATCCGGAGGTAGAAGTGCTAGGATGGCTGGACTTGTGCTACAAACTAGTACTGAAAAATCGGAAGGCAACAAAGACCACATGCAACAATTTCTCCAATACGAGGGGAAGAAAAGCCTTTTCTGCGGTTCAAAGTATGTGGTTCATATTTATGAATCGACTTACTTTCAACTGTTCTAGAATTCATTTTGTGTCTCAATGAGAGAATAAAGCTGCCACACAGCGCCACACTGCACCACACACAAAAAAAAGGAGAAATAAAGTTGCGGAATAGGATATTTTTATATGACTCGCATCAGCATTGGCTCCAGGTGGGCTTACACCCGACACATTTAACAGCAGTCCTAGCCTCCTACTCGGCCCTCCTATTCGCCGCATCCTAGCACCTTCATGTTTGCTTGAGTCTGCTGGCAGCGGCCCAGGAGTGGGCCCAACACTACAGTGCCACCTGTTTTCGGGGCTAGTTGCTTCAGCAGGTGAGTTATTATGTATTCTTCAGCCGTTTGAAACTTTCATGGCCACCATCAGGTTCTGTGCGCAGATGCAGCGGAAGGTGAAGTATGCAACGTGGAGCAATAACATAACTTGCAATGCGGATGGCAGTACCTGGGCCGTACTGGTGTTTTCTCCTTTTCCTGGCAGAAACAGTTTGCAATCATCTCTCAGACTTGACCTCAGGCACCTTTAAGCTGGCAGGACAAAGAACACAAGCTAGCCTGTGCTCCTAGCTTCGAAGCATGCTTTTCTAGAGTGTGTGCTCGTTCTGCGAGAACATGTTTAAGAATGAAAAGCCAGCAATGTTGACTCATGGAGAATCATTAATTATTTCTGGAGGCTTTTGGTATAGCACTCGAACCGATGACGCTGCGAAACGGCAGTGTAGCACAGCGCATAACTTGAAGTGTCGGACTCGGATGCCAACCGGACAACGAAGGGAGCAAAGGACAGCTGAAGCTAAACGGCTAAACTAGGATATCTGGAATGCGTTCTAGACAACACAGGACCATATCTAAACCAATGTTGACTAAACTGACTGAAGTCCAAAAAGGAACAACTTTAAGCGATGGATGGATGGATATGGCTGGCATCAGTTAGCAACAGGCAGCAGAGTCGCATAAGGCAACATGCAGTTTAAATTTCTGGTGGCAGAGCCAATTCGCGAGCAAATAGAACTAAATTTGTTATGCATGACCCTTCATGCAGCATGGTCGGACCATGTCAGTTACCTAGTTTGAATTATATATATATAAAAAAAAAATACTTTGAGTTACAAAGGTGTGCATTCTAACTGCGACTTTGGGCTTGTTCTTGCACCTGCAGGAAACACCTAAAATCCGTTTTCCCCAAATTATGGCGACTGGCAATATGCCTCTGTTAGTAGTGTTGCGTTTCCGCATGTACTTTCATACGGCATGAAATTAAGGCATGTACTTCGGCTTTTCCTAATGCAAGGTCACTTCATAACAACCTAAGTCTGTGTTGAAGCCAAGTATGGCAGATTGTGGTGTGTGTACACAGCAATCTTCAGCGGGAAGTTCTGACTGAACCATGTTGCAAGATTGTTCGACGAACATCCCAGTCAATTTAGGTTGGTCAATTAACAATCCTACTGTCGTGCTGCCCCAAATTAGATCCCTAAATGGTGGATAAGCATGTGCCGCTCGTATCTTTCCCTTCCCAGTAAGTGAATGAAGAGTATTCCAAGAGGCAATGATCTCAAGGTATCTGTGCAGTGCTACGAGTGCTATGCCACAACAAGGCAATTTTGCAGAGCTACACTTCTGCACCCGTAACATGACTCATGACCAAATTTAATGGGTTCTTTGTATGCAGGTGTGCACAGAGAACCCATTAGGTGGCAATCAATAATTTTCTAAAGAAAATCATTAACTGCCACTTAATGCAGTTTTTAAAATTTGGGGCAAAGATTATAAGTAACTATGAACACACATTGTTTGAAAGAGTTTGAGTTGATAATTGTTCATCCTTCAGGTGACATATTTACACGACTGTTCACGTTTTGTCAGCTCTATTAAAATCCCAATTTTATTAGTGGCACCATCATTCTAGGTCCTTTCTTCTTTGCTTTGAAGAGGATAACTTCCATGAACACTAGCTGCTGGAAAGGACTGATGGTGTCTGTTTCAATTAAAAGTGAGTTATAAGGGTCACTAGTAAAATTTGGAGATGTGGCAAACAGAGCAGGTGGAGGCAGACAGGAAGTGTGGTGCCATGAAGACTCGTCCTTCCCTAGTAAAACTAGCCCACCATCGGCTAGCATCATGCCACCAAGTGTGAACTGAGGACTTCGGCAAGTTACGACATGTCACATCAATTTGGCTAGGGCAATGGACATAGACCGACGGGATTTTCGAGGTATGATGCTAGACTATTTCGAAAGTGGTATAAATGAGTTGGAATCACTGGAATGACAGTCACATACTTTTGGAGAGACACTGCACCGTCACCTGCAAGTTTTTTTATGGTTCTGTGATTTTAAGCGTGTCAGAACCTCTCCGAAAGACAAAGAGCACTCTAGCAGACCATCAATGGCAGTGATAAAAAAATGTAGCTGCTCTAGAGAGGCTTGTCAAAAAGGATCCTTAGTGGACCTACGGCGACATTGAGGAAGCCCTGAAGGTTAACTGGCCGAGGGTTTCGACGATTCTTCATAACCCCCCCCCCCCCCCCCTCTCTCGCCTGAGAAAACTTTGATTTCACTGGGTGCCACACAATTTGACAGAAGCTCAAAAGCTGGCAAGGGTGGAATGGTGCAAAGGGATGCCGCATCGAATCCAAAGTGGCAACTCTCAGGGCATGGCAGACGTGACGGAAAAAAATCCTGGATCTACCAGCATGATCTTGAAAGAAAGCATATGTGTGGGTATTCCCTAGAGACTGTGGAAGGTCAAGAGGTGCCAGAAAGAAAATGGCGGCAACCTTCTTCACAGCCAGTGGGCACGTGGCCACGGTTGCTCTGGAAAACCAAAGCACAGCGACTGCACAATGGCACACGACAGTTTGCCTGCCAGCAGTCGTTGCCAAAATCCAGGAAAGGCAACCAAGAACTGGGTCAAGGGGAATCCTGCTGCACCAAGACATGCATCGGCCCACCCTGCCAACTTAATTCTCAACTTCCTCGAAGGCACTCCAGTGAAATTGGCCACCATCTGCCCTACAATCCAGACCTTGTATTATGCGACATCTTCCTGTTCACTATGGCGAAAGGAAACCTGCGTGGACAGCTATTTTTAATTCCGGAAGCTGCTGTCACAGCCTAAAATCCGCTTAAATCTAGCGCACGATACTCAGTCGTGCCAATGCCTCAGAGGTTGGTTTAGACATTGGGGTTGTGTTGTAAGTAAATGGAAAGACAGTGGATTAGCCTAGTCACAGTGTGTGACATACATCTTTATTCTATCCTTTCTCCACTTCCTCCTCCTCCTCCCGCTCGCAGCATCTCCGATCTTCGCTTCTTCGTTCACAGCCAACATGACATCCACCCCCCCCCCCCCTCACCACAAGGTAAAAAGGCTCTTACAGATGGGGTCGGTCACACTAGCTTGAAGCACAAAAAATTAGAGCTCGCACTGCAGAATCCAGGGATCCTGGGCTCAATCCCCACTCCTGCCCGTTTCGACCTGGATGAGCATCGTACCGGCAGGCGGTTGCATATCACTACTGCATGGTGCACGTTAAAAACACCAGGCAAGCGGTTGTACTGCACTGGTTAAATTTCTCATCTACAGTGGGTAACAATGTCGCCATGTTCTTGCAGACTAACGTCCTGCTGTATAAACAATGACTAATTACTTTTTTACAGCGGAGCTGTTAAGGGCTAGGTACCCCAGGATCATGTCCGGTATGTTGACACAAACCTACCTGGACAGCTACCGCCATCTATAAGCGACGGCGGCAAGCACACAACCAGTATGCTTTCCGCCGTCGCTCGTAGATGGCGGCAACCTTTCCAGCTATCATAGAAGAATTGATAGTTAGGCGCGTTGGTGGGAATTCATCGTAGGAAACAGCGCGAAAAACAGACGACGACGAAGAAGAGGCTCACGTAACAAGCCGCCGAGAACAGAACCAGCGATGTGAAGGGCGCCGGCGGGCCAACGCCAAGGGCGACGATCGTGCCACGGAAGCGAAGCGCAAGCGCGAGGCCCGGCGACGACTGCACTCCACACCGGCTGAACAGTTCTCGGGTGTAACGGCGAGGTTCCGGAGGGAGTTTGTGGAGAACCCGTTTGGCACAAGGTGCGCCGTGTGCGACCGACCCTGGTTCGCCGGAGACGTATCCACGATCGGTGGCGTGTCGGACAAGAAGCGGGAATCGGGCGCGTGCGTGTTGCGGCAGTGTATCGAGTACAGCTCCGCTGGTCTTCCCTTCTTCACGAGAGTGGAAAGGCTGAACGTTTTGTTCAGGTTTTTTGGTGGAATGCTCTGTATTCTAAAAGAAACTGTGCCCTGGGTAATATTTTTTTGCTGCGGAGAGTAACGATCCCGCTACAACACAGACCGAAAACTGAAGCATTCGTCCGGTCCAGGTCTAAGAGAAATAAGTGGCCACCAGATCGTTACTCTCCGTAACAACCCTTTTACCTTGGGGAAGAGTATGCTGTGTATGCTGTCAAAGTGAGGACTGGAGGTGTTGCGAGCGGGAAGAGGTTGAGAAAGGATAGAATAAAGATGTATGTCACGCACTGTGACTAGGCTAATCCACAGTAGGTTCATCTATTACAACACAACAGGTTGGTGCATGCGACATCAGGCAGAATACTATGAAAAATGTAATAGTTGGAGGAAAAATATCTTTGATTCGCGATGAGCATCTCGAAACTTTTCTAATGACCCGCCTATTGCTCAGTCTGCGTGTAAATAAAAAAACTGAAAGCCCCGAGGTGCCAGAAAAGAAAGAGGCCCGCTGTATTGACCACACCGACCTGCAGCCCCCAGCCCTTGACTCACCGTAGGCGATTTCTTCGCTGGCCCGTGCCAGGCGTTTCCGGAGGCTCTCCTCAGTTTCTGTCCCCCGGCCTCGAAGGCGCTCTTCCTGGGAAGGCCAAAACAGAGGGTGCGGCCAGGTAAGCGGCCCAGAAGGCATCCATGACTTCATCCACACACATCCAATACATGCTCCACATCCACAAGCTATTCTGGTCACTGACCAGTGACTGTTCACAACACGTTTGTTGCATGCCAGCTCCAAGCATGCTCATACACTCCACGTGCAATCCAAGCTAGCATGTTGGCGCCGGCAAGGCAACCATTGCCATCCCCGAGAGTGCTGCGTCGAGCTCGCACTGCGGAGCGGGCCATCATACTCATACTTGCCCATTTTCCACTCCGACGGGTGCCGATGCACTAATCACTGCTGAACAATGATGCCAGTTAAAGACACCCCGCAATAGCCCTACTATGCTGGCCATCCTCAAACAGTGATGAGTTCTCATGCTTAGTAAATTCGATACAGTGCACAAGAAACAGACAAAATAGAAGGGTGTACACAGGCAAAGCGCTTACTCTCAACTTAAGTCTTTATTTAAAGAAACACCAGAGTAAACAACAGCATTCCACACCATCATGACCAATTCAGCACGTGTCGCTTGTCCTGTGTACACCCTTCTACTTTGTCTTGGTTTCTTGTGCACTGTGTCGAATCTACTATGCATGAACTAACTAGCCCGCATCGCCACCCTAATTGAGTCCTCATGCCAATTCCTCAAGGTGGCCCAACCTCCCACTACACAGATGATCAATCTGGCAGCACTTGGATTCAAGCAACAAGTGCACTCAAAGGGGTCTAACACAAGGCATACAAGTACAGGAAACTGAATACTACAGGTTCCAGTCAGGAGAAGGCCACGTGCCATATGGCATCTCACAAGAGAGAGATCCGTCGAACAGACAGCAACACCCCCGTGTACAAATGGTTCAGTAGGCTCCCCAATTTAGCGAGCGTTGCGGGCAGTTCAATCGGAGCTCCAACAATGGCACATGCACATCATGCTCGCTGCATCGAAAGTGGGGAAACCCAGTGTGGCTACACTGACCTGGTGTCCGCACACTTCCTGAAAAGCACCTCAAGAAAAAGCCCACGAAAAGAGAAAAAGGAGGGGAACTTACGTTAAAAGAGCTAATGGAGACTTACAAGAGCCTTCATGCTCGGAGGCTTGATGAAGATGTAGCGGGGGTTCAGATCTGTGTTTTTGATGTTCTTCACCCCTTCAATCTCAATGTCGAGAATGCAGATGCGCCCTTGGTCTTGGACGTCGCGCACAGACTTTTTGCTGCAAACAAAGCGATCATCGGAGAGGGCCCAGTGGATGCCGCAAACAAAGCCTACCTGGTGCCGTAGAGGTTGCCCGAGAACTCCGTGTACTCGATGAACTCCCCCGCCTCGATGGCCTGCTCCATTTCGTCGCGGCTGATGAAGTGGTAGTCTGCGGGCAGGAAGACGTAAGTCACACGTCGTGTGCCCCGATCAAGGGCCGACTCCTCACCTTTGCCGTTTACCTCCCCAGGCCTCGGCTTTCTCGTGGTGTCTGCAAGAAAGCGGCGCCGTTGAGCGGCGCGTAGACGACAGGCAAAGGGAAGCGTACTCACGGGACACGCTCAAGGCGAAGTAATCACCAAAGTCCTTGAGCAGCTTTTTGAGCAACGTGGACTTGCCGCTTCCGGATGGCCCGCAGATGACCAGCGGGCGCAGAGCGGACATGTGAATCAAGGTGGACAGACCGCCTGCGAGAGAACAAGAGGCCGACGTGTCGAACACGGTCCGTAGCCTCAGTCCGTAGCAGGTTCGGACGCGATCTGGGGGCCCCCATATAGGCGAGGCCTCACGCGAATGAATGGATCGAAAGGCGGCTATACCTGCTTGATTGACGAGACCGAACATTTCGACGTGGCTAGAGGAAACCGCCACCATAAAGCCGGTCGTGGAGGAAACGCAGTACACGCCGCAATAATGCACATAGAGTCAAACAATGCAGTGGAGACGTTCGATGCGGACGGCAACGGATAGATGGCAGCACCCTCCCGGCTGCCGCGTACTGCCGCTTGACCGTTCTCCGATCCCTGGCGCAGCGCCGGCGCTCTGCAGGCGCTTGCAGGCTTACCTGCCCCGCACGCAACGACATGCAACAGTTGGGTGGGGGGCCACCGCGGCGTCACTGTCAGGAGCTACTACACGCTGCTGCTTGGGCAATGGGAGAGCCAGTCTTATCGTCGAGCGTATGATACAATTCCCCAGCCTAAATGCGACTCGCAACTACGTAGCAGTACCAAGGCGCCTCCCCTCACGGGCTGTCGCGGATCAAGCTTTGATCAAGCGCGGTCGACGATTCCGACGGCGACCACGTGCCCTCGGTGACGCATGTACGAGGAAAAAGAAAAGCGATATGCCCCAAAGCTGAAAGTGGCTGCGACAGGCTGCGACGCGTAGCAAGTAGTAATCACCTCCAGAACTTCCGGTAGAGTCACTGACAGATTCACCCCAAGCGAATGCACGATTGACTCCCTTTTTATTTTTTTTCAAGCGCTAACAACAGTACGCGTCGCACCAGAAAGTGTATGCCAGTATGCGGTGTGCTTGGCCCAAGGAAGAGAAAGCGTTGTGAAATATGACAATGCCGCGAACCCGTAGACCGTAGACGTTGGATCGCGTGCACGTGGCACGCGACCGCAGACACGTCAGCCGTCGCGAGGACGGGGCGACTGGTCAATTGGTGGACACAGCCGGCACCTCGAGGCGACTTGGACGTCGAAGTTTACGAACTGGCGCAACCAGCTCAACACCGTAAAAATCGAAAAAGGAAGGGCAGGCAACTTCCGCTGCGCCCCATGTGAGCGAGGGACGCGTGGCCGTCTGGAATCCTGCTACTGACCTTTCATTCTCATGTTGATGGCTGCTGGGGAAAGTTGATGCCGGGGAGGAAGTCTGTTGCGCACAAGTCGGTACCAGGGGGTGATCCGCGGATGTAATTGAGACGCCGACCGCGACCAACGCTTGTTGGGACTCGTCTGGCGGGCTGTTCCAAGGAGGCGATATAAATGGAGGGCTTGATTGCGCAAGCCGGCCCCCTCCTTCCGCGAATCGCCTCCGTCGGTGGGACGCCGGCACCGCCTCCCCCCACGGCCGTGTCGCTCCGCATCCGCGTCGTCCCGGCTACGCGTGGCCTGCTCCTGGCGCTCGCCTCATGGGAACATATGTTTCCTACAAGGTGCCGAAGCGCCTGTCTTAAGACTGTCGGTCGGAGGAAAGATCGAGGCAATTTATTTCGCGGAACGCACTCGTCTGGAGGAATCTCGAAATTCCCGGTGTTTCACGTTGGCGCTGATTTATATACTAGTAGTTTCAGTAACGGTCCACCTCTCGTATTTTTTTTTCTCCTAATCCTGGTTCTTTAATGCGGATTACAGTTGGAATTCCCCCACACTGGCGACCGTTTGTTAACTTCGTCGCCTCTACTTTTCATGGTATATTTAAAAAAAAAAAAAAATATGGCGAAATTCGTAGCGCTGAATCCTGGTATAAAGCAGCAACGGGCACGAACGAGCGCTTATTGGGTTATGCGAGGGGTGCCATTTTATCGTCGGGCGGTGTTGCGCGCTGACGCGATGGTGTTGTCCATAGAATCAGGACTGAAGTTTTCAGAACGTGCATCAGTGTATGCGGAGCCTAGACAGTACGTTTCCATGTGGCATTCCAGCGCAATTCGCCATACGGCGTTTGGCAGAGCGCTTTCACGTGTGTGACATGCGATCGCTCCGGTGCTCTTATTGGCCAGTCATTAAGCGTCATGTGGGTAATGCGAGGGAAGGTGTGCAAGACAGCGGCGTATGCAAAGGGTGGACGGAGTCGCTGATCCGGCCCTTTCCATAAAGATGTAGCGAGCTTGTTTTATTTTCGGAAACAAAACACGTAAGCGAAGCAAAACAGCGCCTTCTATTTTAGCGCTGTCTTCCCTTATTGAAATCATGTACCAACTAGCCCAAGTAATGCCGGGTAATATTTTTAATCGAAACAGAATTCTTAAAAAAAGGGTGCAAACTGCTAGTCGAATGTCGTCTTCGCTTGGTGTTTGTCAAATTCGGTGGACATTATAGGAGCGGATAACCGCCACACTCTGTTAGCAGTTAACTAAAATACGTTAATTATCTTTTTAATTAGTGTACATAAACGTATGGTTTCAATTAGAAACTTGCTGAGCATAATTGATGACCATTAAATAATATTTTAGAACAACTTGCAGCACGTAGGAAACGCAGGGTTGCACCATAGTTGCCACTCGTGCAGCAGGCGCAAAGCTAGCGGTGGTTGAACGCAGATGATAATCTAATCATCCGCGTTCCCCCACTCGTGCAGCTGCTGCATTAGTGGGGGAACGCGGATGATTAGATTATCATCTGCGTTCAACCACCGCTAGCTTTGCGCCTGCTGCACAAGTGGCAACTATGGTGCACCCCTGCGTTTCGATGTGTTTCGACGTCAAGACAGGTCCTTTAAAGTTACAGAACATAGAAATAGATATGGCGGACAAGTACAAATATCTGGGAGTGTGGATCAACGAAGTGTACATGGATAATACAGTAACAATAAGATGGGAGGCTGAAAGCACAAAGTAGCAATAATCAAATAAAGGGCAAAAACACAGGCGAGCTGGTGAAGAATTTCTATAGTAACCGGAGACACGGAGCGTTTTAAAAAACGGACAAAACAACAAGAGACTTGTTGTTTTGTCGGGTATTTTTAACGTTGCGTGTCTCCGGTTACTTAGTAGCAAAAAGGTGGTGGCTTAGGCGGGAATATCCTCTGTCGTCTGTACTTTTCACGGTATAGCTTGAAAAATTGGAGAAAAGAGTAGAGCAAAGTGAAGTAGACTTGGATGTATCGTATATGGAGGGAGGGAAAACAGTGAGGCAGAAATTGCCAGATTTAATGTAGGCAGATGATGCTGTACTCTTAGCTGATAACCGAGGAGAGATGCACGCTCGGGTTTAGGTTCAGCCGAACAAATCTAGATTTATGCTTTTTAACGACAGCAAGGGAAATCCTTTAAAGCGACAGAATATAGAGATGTATATGGTGGAGAAGTACAAATATCTGGGAGTGTGCATCAACGAAGGAAAGAAATACCTCGATGAATATGACAGACATATATTTGGTCCTTATGAAACACAGGGCACTCTGGAACTTCATTAGATACGAAGTTGTGCAAGGAGTATGGAAATGAGCAATGGCACCAGGATTGACCTAATTAGTAACGCAGTCTTTGCATGACTTCTGGAGCTCAGGAGAGATTGGAGATAGGACAAAGGAGCGTTGGCAGGATAGCTCTAGGGGCATACGGGGGGAACACTCCAAACGAGGGCGTGCAGGGTGATATGGGCTGGTCATCTTTTGAGAGCAAAGAGGCAGTGAGTAAAATAATTTTTGACCAAAGACTAGCAGGCATGGAGGAGACGTGGTGAGCGCATCAAATCTATAAATACCTGTATATGAGGAGTCTGAACATGAAATGGACGAAACGGCCACGGAATTCCCTCAGACGGACAATGGGGTGGAGCAAACGCGTTCAGTAAAAAAAAAAAAAAAAAAAAAAAAAAAAAACAGTTGAGGAGGCAGAGAGATGGATGTAGGAGGAGAACATGCAGGCGAAGTCAGCTTTAGCGATTTATAGGTCCCAAAAGCAAGAAATAAAGAAGGAAGGTTTATTCGATAATTCAAGAGAAAGCGCTCTACTGTTTGAGGCGAGGACGGGAGTCTTGGGAACAAAAACGTATAAGGCCAAATTCGAAGACAAAGATACAATGTGCGAATTATGTAAGGAAGAGACGGAAACAATTGAGCACGTGATTATAAAATATAAAGAGCTTAGTCTTGCCCTTCCGGAATGGGCAACAGATGTACCGGTGGCCCTCGGTTTCGCTGGAGAAGATGGAAGGGTGTATTTTACGAGTGTAGACGCAACGAAGAGGAGGTTGTAGTGCTGGTGGAAATTATCTAGGGAAAATTGGACGGAGTACAACTAACTATCGCAGCTGGGGGACAGGCGGAACAGAGGAAAATTGGGACTCTCCCTTTGCGTGACTCCGGGCCAAAGTGTCAACTCTGTCCCCCGGTGGGTCTGCTGTGAGGTGACGCCGACAAGGTTCGACCCGAGGAAAATTGGCGACTCCCTCACCCGGTGAAGGAGGTGGGGGTGGTGCTTTTAGTTTCTTTGGCCGTTAAAGTTCTGCATGGCGATCATCTTCATGGCCTGGTGATAGAAAAACGCATTGGCTTGAAATGGTAAGGGAAAATCAAGTTTTGGTTATTGCTTGTGGGTTAGGTGGCGCAACCTACCGCCCGTTATAAAGGGTACACCGTTATTATCTATCCATCCATCCCACGTGCTTCAAGTTGTTCTAAAATTTACTAATTTAATGGTTTTCGATGATGCTCAGCAAGCTTTTAATTGAAATCATATGTTTATTTACACTAATTAAAATACATTTAGCGAATTTTATTTACTTACTCAACAGGCTGTGGCAGTTATCCGCTCCTATAATGCCTGCCGAACTCGACAAACACCTAGTGAAGTAGTTTGCACTTAAAAAAATATATATATCTATATAAAAGTTTCTATTATTTTGCTGAAGTAATCGAACTTCTTTTTTGTCGGAAGAAAATACTTCAACCCCCTCGAACCCGTCTTTTCTCTTTTTTTATTTCTTATTTTAAAAAAAGACTTCCCCCCCCCCCCCCCCAAAAAAAAAAAAAAAGAGAAAAGAAGTGGTTTGAGGCAGTTTTAATTGTGAGCAATATACGTATGAAACCGAGGAACAAGAAGTGCGTGTTGTCAAATTTTTTTTTGTTCCTTGGTCTCGAATCTAAAAATATAGTGTGATGGTGGGTCGCAACAATTGAAAATTATCTTCTCGCTTTCGCGAAATACTGTTTAGACTCTAACACCGTAGTTAGTACGCCGCTAAATTTTGCTCCAGGATCTATTAAAAAAAAAAAAAAAAAAAGGAATCAATCGGGCAGCGGTTTTTTCTTTAAGTTGCGGCCAGAACGAGCAGTCACGTATTCTGTGACCGGTTCGTGCCGCAAATATTCATCGCAGCAACGCGCATAGACAGAGCAAAAGCTGTGCTACGTGCATGGCTAGTCTTCTGCGATTTCCGTCACAGAAATGAACGGCCCCGAGCACGCATACGAATGTCCGTCGACGCAGGTGTGTGCGCGTGCGAGTCGAGCAGCAGCGTTGTGCTTGTGCATAGTCTCATTGGCTTGGGTCCAATCCGTGATCCGCGCTTGGCTGCCGTCTTTTGGGACCGGCCGGAAGTGAA